CGGCATCGTTCGAGAACCCGGTAGTTTGTGTAGCCTCATTAACGGGGGCCCTCTTACGACCGCTCTTCCTTTGGGAGTTCTCACTCAACATCTCATATAGATTATAAATTTCCTCCTTCGTTGGCTCCCTATGTCTCCTCCTACCGCGTGATCAACCATGTATTGGAGCGTTTGATGTAGCCCGTCGTAGAAAATTGGTTGAGGACTCCGAGACAAAAATGGTGATGTGGGAACTGGAGTTGATAGCCCTTGAATCTCTCCCAAGCCTCGTGAAAAGTTTCACCGATGTTTTGGCTAAAGCTAGCCATTTGGGTCCGGAGGTCGGTGGTCTTTTGATGAGAGTAGTACTTGCTCATGAACTTCTCGTAGACGGCTTCCCACGTGTTGAGCGAATTTGGGAGCAATGTCATGAACCAAGTCTTGGCTCAGACTTTCAAGGTGTAAGGGAAGCATCTCATGCGAAGTTGGTTTTCGGTTAGGCCTTGGAGGGGAAAGGTGTTGACGGTGGAGTAGAATTCTCGGATGAAGTTTAGGGCATCTTCTGGGGCTAGGCCGTAGAATGTGGGTAGCTGGTTTAGGTGGATGGTTTTTAGGTCGTAGTTTCGGGCCGCCTCCCCGAGCACAAGGCACGAGGTGTTGTCTCCAATGATGGGTCGTGCAAAGTATCTCATGTTTGGGGGAGGTGGTGGTGGTAATTGCTCTCCTTGTCCCGCCATTGATTCGGTTTCGGGTTGCGGTTGTGGTTCCTCAATATTAAGCTCAACGAAAAGGTCGATCGATGTGTCTCCTCTACGGGTGCACGCCATCGTCTCCCTCGCATAAACACAAACAAAAACTATACCCGTGAAAGCACCAATGTGAAACACGGTAAAGCTCAAGCAACAAACACAAGTTACTTAGAAAACAAAGAGAAATAAAGAGAAATAAAGAGAAATACGACAATTAAGCAACAAGCACAAAAATCAAGAGAAACACAATAAAAACGAACAACCAAATAGCAAATTAGGCGTCCTACTTGCCTCCTCCGGCAACGGCGCCATTTGTTTAGTAAAGATTTGGTGAGCAAGAGATAACCGAGTTACCCGACTCGGGTTGATCTCGAGGGAAAGCTATTCGGAGCTTTATCTACTAGTTGATTGTCCAAATCACAAAAGGATCAAATAAGGTCCTAAACATTCTAAGAAATTGATTGGAGGGTTGATTATCACTAAACGAGCACTTGAAAACGAGCAATTAACTAAGAGCAATATCAAATCACGAGCAAGTAGCAAACTAGATCACCGGAGTCTTATGCCATAACCATAACGGGATGATAATCAATCGACATAAGGAATAAACAAGCCCTGAGCATTAGATTGCTAAACCTAGTCGTCTAACCCTAAGTGATTAAGCCCTAATCGGGTCTTAATCCTTAAATGAGATCAACAAGCAATTAACTCATCTATCTACTCAAGCAAGCAATCAAGTACAAGCATTTCCTCCATCATCAATCAAATCCAATTTACCCTAATGAGCGTTATAAGTAAAAATGGAGCAAAAACCGAAGTAAAGAGCTTTAAAACTAAATACTCATCCTTCCATTTCGTAGACGATGAAAAACGGAGTCAAAAGCTCGAAACTTGAAAGAAACCAAAGTCGCCGGAAAATCTCCCGGAAAATAGCATAAGCTCCTAATCTAGAGAGCAAAATAAAACATAAGCTAAGTTCCCAAAAAGAAAAAAATGAAATAATGAGTAGTGGATCCCCAAAATGCAAAGGAACAAAAATACTTATAGTCTAGTCAAAACACACACTAGAAAAATGCACAATTAAAACGACACTCTCGAGCTAGCTACGAAATCCGTGAGCACGCAGCCCTTCACGCACGGACACACACAGGAAATGGAGCTCTCGACCTCGCGATGATGTACGCGAGTCGCGTCTGCAGCATGGGAGGACTCTCGATCTCGCCAAGGTTTCCCCGAGCTCGTAGCGTGCAGCGTGCGGCGCACGGGAAGATGGGAACTCTCGATCTCGCGGGGAGATTCGCGACGGCGCGAGTGGGCAAGTGCTGATGTGACGCACTCTCGACCTTGCCACTGATTCCGTGTGGGCGCGAGTAGGCAGGCGCGCGGGCACGGCAAGACTCTCGAGCTCGCCATAATCGCCGCGTGGTCACGAGTGGCCGGCAGTGCGCGGCATGCGGGCGTGCATCCGCTAGGTCGCGGGTCTCGGCGCGGGCTCACGAGTGGGTAGGTCTAGGCACGTTCGGGCTCGACTAAGGACTCGATATACTCGATTGACGATGGTTCGTCCGAAATGGCTCAAAATACTCGGAATTGACTTTGGGAAGCTCGTCATGGAAATTGGCTCGACTCTTTCCTTTCGACCTCGGAACAAACCTGAGAATTAAATCCAAAATACAAAATGAAACGAAAAACATAAAATCACACAAAATGCGATAAAATGGACCAGTCGACACTAAAACGAACCTAAAATCGACTCGAACACACATAGAAACGCATAAAAATATGCACAAAAACATAACAAACAGCACGCGTCGGAACAAAGGAGACTCACTAAAGAGGACGTCGGAGCTTACTGTAAGGTGTGTAAACCAATCCCACATCGAAAAATTAAAGGTTCCAAGTCCAATATATAAGTTTGGTGGGCTACTCCTTCTATTGTCAATTGGTTTTAGAGTGGAGCTCCATTTGAGCTTGTATGTAGGGCTTGATGGAGAACTGAGTTTTGAATTGTGTGATCCCAACACTTACATCACCGCCACGTGTCTTCGAACTAACGTCAGGTATTTCTTGTATCTATCATAGATAATTGGCAAGATAAATAATTGCACGCCCTCCCTCAAGATTACTTTTCTCTCGAAGGCAAATAAATTCACGGGCTCGCATAATCTTGTGGGCTTTTTTTCTGTATGCGCAAATGAGCATAAAAGTACTGATAAGTTTTCTTATGTTGCATAATAAGGCTCTGCAAAACGTGGCCTAATATGCTATCTCGAAAAGCAAACTGCATTGGATTATTATTGTGGATTGATCAATCACACATCAAGTAGAAGGGTACGTAGATACAAACACTTCATCATGTGCCCATGTCTTATTGCAGTATACCAAATTTTCTGCGTAAAAATAAAATTGAAGGATAGATACCCACACACACTCCAAATATAAACAAGTTTACATCTGACAGAACACGAGCATTATTAATTCTAATAATGAACACAATCACAAATGGACTATTATTTCCTTAAATAGAACTCTTGTCCTCTTCATTTCTGGACTTGAAAATTTTCACAAATTCTGGAGATACATTGAGTGAAGCTTGTAAAACGGGCGAGGATAAGCCGGTCCAAGCCGACCTAATCCCGACCAATTCTCCCTCTTCAGGCCTGCAACCACAATAGTCACGAAATTTCGAATACATTTATATTTATTTCATCAAAACATTAACATGATACATATGAGCTAGTAAATAACTTACTTTCATTTCGACTAATAACTGTAACACTTGGGAAAGACTTACCTTGAAGATGTGGTGACAGCGTAAAATTCCATCCCTTTTTCGCCTGCAAACAGGGCCACAGCGAAAAACCTGGGCACCACCAACACATGCTCTTCCCTCACATCATCGTCCAACGCTAAGCTCCCATTAAGACCAACAACTTGGACCCGACCACCGCCCTTAAGAACATAAATCACCCGAGTCGACCCATCCGTGCTGTAAGAAGGGCCCAACACGGAATTGGGCCCGAGCCTCACCAAACTGGCACTGAGCCCGATTTTCTCGAGCAAACCAAAATTATCCGCCGTGACGTCCGCACGGGCTACAGGTTTTGGACAACAAGACTTATCAGAACGGATCAGATCGAGAAGATTAGCAACGTATTCTCGATCATGGCAGTTGGATTGATCGGGCATGCTTATTTCTTCACCGAGCTTGAGAATCAATGCTGCAGTTTGACTTTTCGCGAGCTTCTTGGATTCAGGTTGGTCGAGATTATATAGTTTGCTCGTAAACTCCGTGGAAAAGGCTCCGAGGGCACCGAGTGCCCCCGTCAAGAAAAAATAATCAAACTGGCCTGGATTGTATGATTGTTTGGTTTCTCCGAGGAATATTATGGTCATGTCTGAATCTCCACCGTTGAACCACCACGAAATGCTTCCCATCGGGACAGGGATGGCGTCTCCCTCCCTGACTTTAACGACAGTCTCTTGCCGGTTGTTTGGTTGTAGTAACCCGACGGTGCATGTGCCTGCATGTAGAGAGAGACATCAAGTTATATTAATACATATTTCATTTTGATGTAGCTTGTTGTATCCGCTCGAGCACAATAAGTAATATCTACTGTGGGATAAGGGAACGGGGTCGGAGTATGGTCGGATCGAGCTAGAGTGCTCGGATGACCTGACGACATTGTACTAAATATCAGCCTAGGCGGCCGCCTCGATTTACATAAATCGGCTGAAAAAATCGGCCAAACGACTAGGCGGACCTAAGCGGGCATATATGAATCAAAACCCGAAAAAGAAGGGATTGTGTGCATATGCTTGCCTTGAACAACATAACCGATCTTGAAAGAGTTGGCGTAGTGAGGTAGAGCGAAGCCGCGCGGCCGCAAGACCAGCTTTCCGGCACCGACGGCCAGCTGAGCGAGCACCGGAAAATTGGAAGGAGTCCACGCGTAATATCCGCCACCTTCTCCCTCATACACGCTCGTGTCGGCCGCTTGAGGAGATAGATTCAACGCCATTGATTCAGTAATTTTAACTCTATAGTATGCGTACTATATATTAATTTTTCAGTGGTTATGATATGACAATCAGCTATATTAATAATGAAGGTATAAATATATATATCAGCAAAGATTATTTTGGATTTTTTTCGTTATTATTTTATTCTTAAATCATTATTGTCGTCCGTGATTTGAAAACGACAAACAAAATAATGAGGGGTATGTAAGGTAACACTGAATGGGTTCGCCAAGATGTAATTAATAACATATTTTGTTGTGTACCCGACAGCTGTTCATATTTAATGAATTCAAACAATATTAGTTTAATTCAATGGAAATTTATTATATTTGGGAACGTCTTATTACCTCTTAAAATTTTTTCGTTGACAAATTGATTGTTTCTCATAGTATATAGTTTGGATTACAAGTAAACGACTCGCTAAACATACAACAGTTATACGCGATATTACTGACTATTTTACTGACACAACTGGATATGACAAAATTATGGGGCGTTACATTATGCAACTAGAATTTCATTCTAATATAGCCAACAGTCCAACATTATATTCGATTCAATCATTTACTTCTATGGTCACAACTCGTGGACTTTCACAAACTCGAATTCCTCGAGCAAACCAATACTTAATCCCTAAGTACTACGAAGATTGTCTGACATAAAATAAATATGAAAAACCACTGAATAACAAATTTAGTTCTTCGCTGGTGTAAGAAAACTGAATCACCGATTATCAAAATAACTCTAAGAACAAAAATCTTGAACTCAGTCGTATGCTCGAATATTGATTAGTACTAAATCTCGCAGCAGACCTTTAGTTGATCTTCAAGACGAGGATATATATCTTTTCCATGTAGCTATTTTGTTTCCTTCTAAGATAACTTCCTTCCAATCACGACTTAAAAAACGTGATAAGTGAATATTGCTTCCTCTCTCTTTATCTTGTTTCCAAGCATGACGATTACATCCAGTGGCGGAACTACATA